CAGGCCCAAATCCATAACACGGTTCGTACATTAAACACGTAACTCCTCTTCAATTCCATACCAAGTACACCCCCGTAACTCCAAGTAATCCGATCGGAAATCCACCTCAAAACTCGCTGCCTGAAGCTCGGTCAAACGCCAACAAATCTCCATCCGGTCACCTTAATGGCTGGAATCTGCCACTGGTCCACTCCCCTCTTCAAGAAGAACCCAGCCATGTAAACAATTTACCCCGAACAGCAAACAGAAGCCTTCAATTTCAAACTGAAAATAGCCCAGTCGCGAATGTTGCGATAACGCACTGGAATCTGCCAAATTTCCGCTCCGTCGGGATGACCCATGGCGACAGACCACCTGGGTTGGGTGCGTCTCCACCTGGATCACCTAGCCCAGTCATGGGTCTACCTCAATTTGTCCTCCATCAGCTTGAATCTGACCCAGAAGCTCACGCAGTCGCGAACTCGCGACAACCGAAACTGAAAATTGTTAACTATGATGTCTGTCTTTGAAGCCAGGATGAAATTCTTCTATTTAGTTGAGATTTGATCTCACATATTGAGTTTGGAAAGAAATTTCATAGAACTGCTCATCAATGAGCATTGGTTTTATATGAGTTTGGATTTTGGAGATGAGGAAAATACTCTCCAAATTCCAATATTATGTGCGGCAAGAGGATTTTGATAAGGTGGTTATGAAGTTGAACTCATAAGCTACAGGAAGCAATAAAAAAGGGTCCATACCTTGCAAGGAAACACACTAGAGCTCATCAGCGAGATATCGTCTGACAATTGCTTACCTGTTTTAGTAGGTGGAACAAATTATTATATCCAGGTTAGCTGCTATCTATAATATCATATGATGATATATATATATATAATCCAAATTGATTGTAGCCAGTCTTCGTAGACAATATTGGCTCGATTAAATTAAGATCTTGTAAAAGGGCAGCGAGCTATTTTCTTGGAGGTTGACAGATGCGTAAAAGATGGGCAAAGATTTAGACTTGAAAGCATTGTCAAGTAAAAAGTTCAGTGGATATATAAATTTTGCGCTCAAGAACATCATTCATAAAATCTTAGGATGAATGAGGAAGACCAATGTCTCTTAAGTATTGATGATTTAGGCTGTTAAGAATCAAAAGAATATGAACAACTATTATTTACCAAAATTGGATACTTATTATAGGGAGAGCAGTTAAGGTTTATTTTGCAACGTTTTCTAGTATTTTATTTTATGTCTTTAGTAGTTTACTACATAAATTAGAAACTCTATTTAAAGAAGGCCTATATGTAGTATTTACCTAGATTTTTGATGAATTGAGTAAACAATATTGGTGTCTCCTAACTGTTCTTCTCTCTCATTCTTCTCTTTTCTCATCTTTTACAATTCTGATGCTTGTTCAATTGCATCCGTTGACACAAACTGAAACTACCTAATACAGTCTCTATATGGAATCGTTTAGTGGCTTTTATTGTTTACAAAATATCTTCAAAGGGGTGGGTATTTTGCCCAAAATCTCTGTTTTTGCTGTTACCATTTGCCTGCTTCATGCTAATTCATCGTATCATAAACTGTGTGAGACTAGAACTAAAGACTCATCGTTATAGATAAATATTATATTTCAAATCTTTGTCAGGAACGACTTAAATAAATAATGTTCTTCAATGAATTTTTTTAGTACATGTAAATTTTATTACATAGGCTTGATTAGTACTTTCAGCCCCCTACCTTGGATCCGTCCTTGATTTAACCTAGCATAAAGCCTTGTCTCGCGCAAGCACCTCAAAGCATTGCCTCGCGCAAGCACACCAAAGCCTTGCCACATGTAAGCACCTCAAAGCCTTGCCACGCGCAAGCACACCAAAGCCTTGCCCCACGCAAGCACCTTAAAGTCTTGCCCCGCGCAAGCACACCAAAGCCTTGCCACGTGCAAGCATCTCAAAGCCTTGCCCCGTGTAAGCACACCAAAGTCTTGTCACGTGCAAGCAACTCAAAGCATTGCTACGCGTAAGCACACCCAAGCCTTGCCATGTGCAAAGACATCAAAGCCTTGCCCCGCGCAAGCACATTGGAGCCTTGCCTCGCGCAAGCGCACCGGAGCCTTACCCAGCGCAAGTACCTAAAAATCTTGTCTTGCGCAAGCACAAACAGGCACCCTGAGGACATGCCACGAGCCTGGCCATTTTATGTATCGACCTTATGTGCATCCATCCCTAATTAGCGAGCTCTAGGAGTGAATACATGGGGGCCAATGATGTGGTCAAAAAAGATCTACCTTAAAATTCTAGGTCTATAAGGAGTCTATTCTGGAAAGTACTGCAGGTAATATAGGACAAGACTTCTGTTTTTATTCCAACACTTATCCCAACAATAATTCCTAAAAATAAGGCGATAAGTCCTACTAGGAGTGTACTACTACCTAGCTCTATAAATATGGGGCATTGAATCATTATTCAAGTACGTTTTTCACATATATTTTCAGCATATATCTTCTTTCTCTATTCTCTCCCTGACTTAAGCATCGGAGGGGCGACGATGACACACCTCGACGCCTTTGTTTCAGGTACCGGAAGATATCGTTCGTGCTCATTCTCAGTCGTCAAGCTCGGAATCCATCAGATGCGATTTTTGATAGCATCACTAGTTGTTGTAAAAAACGAACAGGAAAATCTGAAAGAAGAAAAAGAACAATAAGCACTAGAAAATTTAAGCGCTTCGACAATGTGCACTTGTCCATTTTTATATGAGCTACCAAATCAATAGATTTTCGTATTATTCACATAGCTCTTTATTGGATTAGAATCTTAATGAACGTTGAAACTGCCAGTCATTAAGTTGTTTGCCACAAGAAATTCCTTTATTACATGGAGTATTCTAAAGGCATGTTTGACATGACTTTTGTTTTTGTTTCATGTAGAAGAACATTTGGAGGAAGCCACCTTAATTTTTGTTTGTAAATTAATTTTTTAAAAAGTTTGCTATTCTGAAAGTGTGTTTAGAGGAATCTACATTAACTCTTCTAACTAGAAGAAATATTTTCATAAAATTAGTCAAACGGGTTCAAAAGCAACTTTTGAATCTCAAAAGCCCCTTTTGACTTTTCAAAAGTCATGGCAAACGAGCTCTAGCTTGAGAAGGGATTAGATATGCCAACCATTGTTAAGTTTAAGGACTTCCAAATTAGTGAAATTCACTAGATCTTTAGGATAACCCTTTTAACGGATCAGAGATGAAGGGTTGTCATGAATTTGAGTAATCTAGACAGTGTTGGGAACAAATTGTGCTATTAGAAAGATCAAAGTCTGTCAAGCGTAAACAACCACAAACACCAAGAGGAAACTTTCTTGTAAGTCCTATGCTCCTCACCCGAATGTTCATGACCTATTCTCATAGTTCCAGCAATTAACTACCCAATTAAAATTAAATTTTGGGGAAAATATATTTTGGAATAGTGATTTTTTTAAAGAACTAGTTAACGTTGAACGTGCGTTGCACGTTATTATGAAATGCTTTATAAATGTTGAAAAAACAATATTCAAATTTGCGTGAATATTAATTAATTTAAAATTAATACTGGGGAATATATACGTGACAATGAATGTTAAATTATTTATTTAATTTCCAATTAAATAAATCTGGATGTTAATTAACATACATGGACTTTAATAAGGAAATGCATTATTGAATGTGAAATTTTAATTAACTTATGATTATAATTAATAACACTGAAATGCATAAATGAAGAAGAATATTAATTAAATGAATGTGAGTGTTAGTTAATTGGGAATTAGTAATGGGGAATTCATACATTAATGAAAGTACGCATGTGAAATGAATTGTCAAATGTACATGTACATTAATGGTAACTAAATTGTTAAATAAATTAAATACATATTGAAAAACAAAAAGTATGATATTATTGAAATAATTGAATTATAGTAGTGCTAGAATTGTCAAAAAAATTATTCTCATGCGATATTTAATATATTATAGATGTGTGGTTAAAAAAGAAAGAAATTTTGGATTCATGTGTAATATTATTTTATTCGAGAATGTGCAATTGAAATGAAGAGGGAATAAAATGCACTTTAAATAAATTACAGCCCAAACAGAGTGTAAAATTACAAATAAAGTCTTCAGTACTGTCGTTGAAATTCAAAGAAGATTTCAGGTAATTTAAAGGTTCTACCCAAGAATCTTTTATAGATCCACATCACTTTTTAAAAAATAGGTAAATGATCCCCTCCCAAGCAACAGAAGTAAAATGGAGTAGTGCTACATGTACATAACCATTCATATAATGGTTTACATAATTACAAGTGGCATGTGATCCAACCTTTAATTTAAAATTCACACTTACATATCAACAAGTGGATGATTGACACGTCAGATGTGAACCATTATGTGAATGGTTATGTACACCTAGCATTATTTTTTCTATTTTTCGTTTGTGTTTTTCAAGACACCGTTTAAATTTGTTACATTTCCAATCAGGCTGCAAATTTAATCCCGATTCATATTGATATTATTTTAATAAAATGGATCGAAAATTGTCTCGTGTAAAAGTAAAAAGAAAGAGATACACTAATGTTTGAAAAAAGTTAACATTGTGTACAAACACCAAGGATGAAGCTTATGTTATTCCCAGTACAGGCAAATGAAAAATAAAAATGTTATTTGAAAACATAAAAAAATATATACTCCAGAGTAGCACTCTACATATGCTATAGTTACAGTTGGGATAAAGGTACAGAATAAGTAGTGCAATAAACTAAACCTGATAAACATAAGAAGATGACACAAAGGGGATATGTACTGTCCCGATTCCAGACTGAACGATGATATTTTCGAAGAGGATTGTTGAGTTTTGCTTCTATGGCTCAATAATGAGATATTGCACACGCTAAGACAAGTAAACGTTAGCATAGATGACCATGGAAGACCAACAGAACAGATAATCACCTATGGATTATGATTTCACTCATCTCAGTTGTTACTTGTTAGTACATCGATCCTTTCATAGATCTCCATGGATCTTGGGAGACGATCAGTTCGACTAGTTGATCAGCATCACCATGGTCGGGTGGCAAGAAGATGTCATCTTCTGTTGGGAAATTATACCTTCGTCCAATAGCTCTCAAAAACTGGTAAACGTCAAACATGGTAGGCCTCTCTTTAGGATCTGTCAGCACACAACTACAGGCAACAT